AAAACTCCCACTGACTTCAATGGGAGACGAGTTAGGCTGACACTGTATGCTTGTGAAAATCTTACCTCTATTAATTACAGTATGGTACTGTATACTGAGGAGGTATTGTTGAATATGAATGCAATGAAAGGCGTATTTATATCCGCACGTTACACACTTAAAGGAGGTGGAGGGTAAAAGTGGACAATGGCGTGTATATTGTTTTCAGAACAGCCCAGCATCTCCCTTCTCCAAAACTAAATAAATAAATAAAGAGTGGTGCACAAAGCTGAGAAGTGCAGATCTTTTGAGTGTATGCATACAGGATAAATTGTTGAAAGGGCAGGCCAATGATCTAGTGGCAGCACAATGCAGGGAATCAGAGTCCATGTCACAACTCGGTCTTTTGCTCACTGGACAAGAAATACTATGGAGGCAACTCTCTCAGACCTTGGGGAGAGCGAGCACCTAATACAGTAGTGCTTTTGAGCAATTTCCACTGACCTCCATGGTATGGACAATACAGAGGCCATGTTTTAGCAAACCACTGAAGCAATTACATAAATCCATTCCTATTCAGCAAAGCACCTAAGCATGTGCTTACTTTCAACCTGCGCTTTAAGTCCTGTTGAAGACAAGGGAACTTAAACACATGCTTAAAGTTAAGCAAATGCTTAAGTCTTTTGCTGAATGGGAAGGACCTTTGAGTGGTTTTGATGAGCTTTAGAGAAAGCAGCCCAGCCCTCCATATCCAAAGAAAGGGTTGTTGTGATGCAAGACTCAAGGATGAGGTGGAAATCAGGGGAACTTCCTGAAGGAGCCTTCTTCACATCCACCTACCCCACTCTCCTGCCACTTTATCCTTTTCTACCTCTAAATTGATTAACAGGCAAAGAAACCACTGTGTTAAATAGAGTAGCAGAGTGTAATAAAAGCCAGTAAGGATGGGACTAATAAAAATAAAAACAATCTGTAGTCCTGACATTTGGAAGAAATAGAAAATAAACAGAAAGAAGCTAAAATCTTACTTTGACATTGAAGTACAAAGAATATTACAACCAACTGCAGTGGATTCTTCGAAGGCATTTACAATAGACAAAAAGTACAAGAACTGTGCTCCACTAGAAATTACAGTATAGAACTGGAGACAAGGATAACAAGATGGCAGGATACTTACACACTTTGTTTGCTTCGTTATTCCTAGAGGAAGGACCTGATTCAGGAATGCATTTAAACTCATGCTTCTGTCTCATTGCCTTAAATGAGTCTTCAGTATACACTTAAAGTTAAGCATATGTTTAAGTGCCATTCCGGAATAGGAATGCTTTCCTGAATCAGGGCTGAGGACAAGAATGAAGAATCCCTTGAAGAGGGGTGAACTTGCTGATGCAGGCTAAAAGCAAGACTAAACATAGGCGTAATTTTAGACAGGTGAGTAGTCTCATTAATTTCAAAGGGACTATTTATGTGCTTAAAGTTAGCAACCGGCTTAAGTACCTTGCTGAATCTGAGCCATGTAGAGGAGGGAAGGGTCTAGATAGTATGCAGATTAGAATTTAAATATTTATGGAAAAATTAGTCACTCTGTGAGACTGCCAGTACAATTCAATATTTTCTTCTAAGTATCCTTATTGTCAACACTATAACTTCATGGTAAAATTTTACTCACAGGTATAGTGTGACTCTGAAATTCAGGCTGACCCATTTCCAGGACCAGATAACATTCAAGAAAAAATCATGAGTTTTAATGAGATGAGGATAGAAATTTGCAATGATTTTAGCTTACTTTTATTTTTTTGTAATTGTTTGATGGTATGTGAAATAATTAAGGACTTGAAGTAGCTTTATTCAAACAGCAAGCTGCTACCAACTGATTAATTTCATTTTTAAGGAGAGTATTGGAAGCAATGTTGTGGATTTTGGTATGGGAACACCTTGAAAAACATAATTCTACTGGCAACAGAAAACATGGATTTATGACAGGGGAGTCTTGCTTGAATAATTTTTTGGAACACTTTAGATTACCACCATGGTAAGCAATGGAAATGCAGCAAATTACAGGGTAGAAGAACCAGCAAGTAAAATCGGAACCTATTAGAAACTTTATCCTAATTTCAAAATGACCCTTGTTTGAAATTTGAAAAAGTTCAGATAATTTGTTTCTCTCTTTCTCTCTCTCAGGTAATTCTGTAGTGCCAGTTGCTACATTATCGAGGCACCATACTATTTTCCCCTTTTAATTATTTTTCATTTTCTTCTATTTCTACGCTTTCTGGGTCTGGCTTGACCAGAGTCAGTACGTACCAGTAATCTAACAAGAATGAGTTCTTACGAAGTTTTCCTCAGTCTAGTTTTCCAAACTTAAAGAGGTTTGACTCAAATTGATAAAGTTTAGATGAACATTCAAACTTTTGGAGCTGAACTGAAGAGCCTTTAGATAACAATAAATCAGTTACCAAGGCCCAGAAGGAAGGCTATGTCTACACTACAGCCTAAGTCAACATAACTTATGTTGCTCAGGGGTGTGAAAAACTACGCCCTGCCCTGAGTGACATAAGTTACACCGACATAAGCACTTGTTTGCACAGCGCTATGTCA